GGGGGGGGGAGAATTAGACATGAAGAAAATAAATGCATAGAAAAAGAGATAGGATGATAGAGAGAAAGAATGTGTTTGTTGACCCTGTCTTTTTTTTTATTCACCAGCATTCAGCCATCCAAAAGCTGCGGGCCCTTCCGCCTGTATTCCTCGGACCAGTATGTCATGTTCGACACGGTCAGTAACCAGGTCAACAGCTGGCCCTCCACGCCTCGGAACATCGTCAAATACTTCGGCACCGTTGCCTTCTTTCTGCCAGCCTTCCTCGTTTTGTTGTAAGTACAACATAAAGAAGAAAAAAGTATTTTTTAAAATCCGAATCAAAAATGAGAAAATGAAATACATTTTTAAAAACCAAAACAAATAAAGTCCGCTTTTGTGATTCCTAGAGAGAGATTTGTGTTTGCAGTCAATTACATAACATCTGGCAGAACATAAGAAAGTAGTAACCAATAATTTGATTCTAACTGGCATTTTCTGAGAGAGAGAGAGAGGGAGACGGAGAGAGAGAGAGAGAGAGAGAGAGATCGAGAAATGGAAAGAGAGAGAGGGGTTAAAGTTTGTGAAGGCACACTGCGCTCTATTTACTTCTTCTTATGAGGTACAATAACATTTTATTATCTTATCTTATCTTTTCTTTTCTATATTGTCTTAGGAAAACAAATCATTAGATTGTGTAAGAGCAAGAAGTGCCCATTGAGTCCCATGTCCACTTTGACCTAATTTCTGTTTACTGTCCTGTTCCACTGTCCTTCTTTTCCTTTTTATCTCTCATATTGTCTATCATTTCCCTCTGTCTCCATTATTATCATCTCTCCCATTATATATCACTTTCCTCTATCTCCCTCCCTTACCATCTCTCACCTTTTCTTTATAATATAATTTCTCTCCTTCCCCCCTCACCACCCCTCCACCCCACACTATCTCCCCAGACTGTCTATCTACTACTACTGGGCAACCTCCCAGGGCTACAAGAAGATGGAAAAACTTCTCAAGTTACAGCTCAAGTCTGTGAGTACCAAAAAAAACCCAACTGTTGTGTTTAAGTCTTTGAGTGCAGCAAATGTTTGTGGTCAACAATTTTGTCATTAATAATTACATGTTTCCACTCTTAGATGTTCTTGTTTGTTTTCTTCCTCTCCTCCTCCTCCTCCTCCTCCTCTTCCTCCTCTTCCTCCTCTTCTTATTTCGGCATTTTAAAAAATCGATTTATTGTTGTATTTGCTGTTTTCTTCTCCTCCTCCTCTTTCTTTGTCTTATCTTCCTACTACTGTTCCTCTTCTTCCTCCTCCTCCTCCTTCTCCTCCTCTCCCTCTCCCTCATCCTCTTCCTCTGCCTCCTTCTCTGCTTTATCTTCCCTCCCCCCCTCCCTCCTCCTCTTCCTCTTCGTTCTGCTTCAGCATTTTCTTTAATCAATTTTTTGCCGTTATTGCTTTTTAAATTATCCTTTCCATTCTTCTCCTCCTCCTTTTTACTCTGGCATTGGTACATAAAGAACTTTCACAACCATACATTAATTATATTATATACACGAAAGGACTGCAGAAAAACAACAACAAATAAACACTTACTAACACACTATAACTAAGAATTAAACAAATGAGTCTTGAACTATCTCTTAAAAGTAACAAAATTTGTTATTTTTCTGCGATCCTGAGGCAAGGAGTTCCAGATTTTAGGGCCTTACTTGCAATGCCTCTAATCTTCGGCACTTATATTACCTAATTGTATTGCAAGTGCTGTAGTAAAACGCTTATTAAAAATAAAGCAACAACAAAAATAAAATAACTGTATTGTTTCTTTGTGTGTAACCAGGAGGCATACGACAAGCAGTATCTGCTGGCTCGAGTGGACGAGGTCATCAAGAAAGGTCAGCTGGTTACTCATGACAACGAGCCCATCTGAGCATGTTTGTGCGTTTGTCTGTATGCACCCCAAGAGTCTGTATGTTTGTTTGTTAGAGTGCCCTGAGAGTCTGCATGTACACTTGAGAAGAGGCTGGCCTGAATGTGGTATGTGTCCAGGTGGGGTGGGGGTGGGGGGGGTGGAAAGTGATTATTTGTACAGATGATTGTCTCAGAGAGGTTGTCATTTAAATAGTTTTGACTGTGTACTATCTAACCTTTTCATGAAGTATAACTGTATAGATTGTTGATTAAGTTTATGTTTCTGTGGACTTACAGCTCACAAGCTGAATTATATGAGATGATGGTTCTGTGTGTATGTGTTTGTGTGTGTACTGTGTGTGTGTGTGTGTGTGTGTCTGTGTGCGTGTGTGTGTGTGTTTGTGTCTGTGTGTGTGTGTGTCTGTGTGTGTGTATATACTGTGTGTGTGTGTGTGTGTGTGTGTGTGTGTGTGT